TTTAAAAATTAAAAAAATACTCATTGGAAAAGCTGAGATAGGTAGCAATATAAACAAATGTGATTTTAAAATATTTTGTAATGAAATGTGGCAACACTTGGAAGATCTGCAAGTTATCAGTGAAATGATATTTTCTAAATGACTAGTGCATAATGTTATACAATCATGTGCAGGTAAAAGATCCATTCAAAGTACAAGATCGACAAGTGCATTTTATTGTAACCCCATATGAAAAATTTTGGGGATGGTTTCACATTTCACATTGCAACTAACCTTTAAGAAGCTACTATTAGTTGAGTCTTGGTGTGGTATCAAATAATAGCTATAATTACCTAAAAAGGCTATTGAAATACTCCACTTTCTTACTACATATCTGCATGAAGTCTTATTTTTTTCGCATATTTCAGCCAAAGTGAGGAATCACACCAGATTGATTGCAGAAGCGTCTGAGCATCCAGCTGTCTTCTATTAAGCCAGACATTAAAGAGATTTGCAAAAATGTAAAACAGTGCCTGTTTTCTCACTTTTTGTTGTTGTTGTTTTGGAAAAGAAAGTTCTTAAAAAGAAAACAATGCTATTTATTTTGACATGTGATGGATTTAGTGTCGTCTTTTTAAATGAATTAATATGTTTAAAACTCTCAGTTTTTAATTTCTGATACAGTAGATATTGATAGCCATAACCCACATAAATAAAAGCTTTTGGAGGTCCTTAATGATTTTTAAGAGGGCAGAGGGGTCTTCAGAACTGCTGTTATGTAACATCACAAGGGAAGGGGTGCATTTTTGATAATGGCCCCATCTCCAAAGTGGCAAAGGCTATTTTTTCAAGGGCCATTTATAATATTTGCTCACAAAGGAGTCTTTTTAAGATTTGGAATGTTTTTCCATTAAGTTTTCCACATTTTGGTCAAGAATGTAAGTGGGTTGATTAGTTTTTCATCTGTTTTGAATTTGCTTTTAGCTGCTGTCAAAAAAGTCCATGCTGGGGCAATCCATGTGATGGGAGCGGTAGAGTGTGGCATCATTAGGGATGTTTTAATATTTTTAAAAATTTTATTTGTGACAACATTTTATTTCATTTCATTATTTTTTTAAGTAAGCTCTACACCCAGCATAGTGCTCAAACTCACACAACCCCGAGATCAAGAATTGCACACTCCACCCGCTAAGCCAGCCAGACGCCCAAGAGATGTTTTATTTTTTTATTTTTATTTTTTATTTTTTAAAGATTTTATTTATTTGACAGGGAGAGACACAGCGAGAGAGGGAACACAAGCAAGGGGAGTGGGAAAGGGAGAAGCAGGCTGCCCGCAGAGCAGGGAGCCCGATGTGGGGCTCGATCCCAGGACCCTGGGATCACGACCTGAGCCGAAGGCAGATGCTTAACGACTGAGCCACCCAGGCACCCCAAGAGATGTTTTAATACAGCATAAAAAGAATGATATTATGGGGCACCTGGGTGGCTCAGTTGTTGGGCGTCTGCCTTCGGCTCAGGTCATGATCCCGATCGAGCCCCGCATCGGGCTCCCTGCTCGGCAGAAGCCTGCTTCTCCCTCTCCCACTCCCCCTGCTTGTGTTCCCTCTCTCGCTGTGTCTCTCTCTGTCAAATAAATAAATAAAATCTTTAAAAAAAATAAAATAAAATAAAATTTTTTTTAAATTAAAAAAAAGAATGATATTATATTGACAAACAAGTACTAGTTTATTTGTTGCTACTGAGTAAGGTTTTTAGTATTAAGATCTTCTATCTTATTTTGACCTTATTTTAGTGCTTTATTACAGCTTGCAGAATGTTCCTGAATACAGATAACTTTATTGAAAACATATTGTTGGTTTGGGGCCAGTAATTTTTAAGGTAGACTCAATTCAAATGTAGATTTTTTTTTAAAAAAAGAGTTTTGGTATCAAAAGCTGTTGCTCTGTATTCTATACATCAAGGCTAAAAAGAAAAAATCGCATATTCATAGGGAAAAATATGTAGTGAGATTATCAGCAGGACAATCTAAGAGCAGATGGTGTTAACAAGTTTTCAAGAAAACCCTATAACTACTGAAAACAGTAAGGTTCTGGAGATGGGAGATGAAACAGACGACTCTCAAATGGAGGGAGGGGTCTGGAAAGGAGTTTTTAAATAAATAGGATCTATGAAATTGGTTAGCAAAGGGTTACCAACCAGCCCAGAGCTTTAAAGAAGCCTTGCTCTAAATAGCTAGGAATGGTTTGTAATCATTACTTGAATTGTTTGTATATTTGTTCTCTCAAGTAGTTTGAAGTGACCTACAGTCTTGTTTACACTATTAATTTGCTTGACAACCCCTGTCTTTACAGAGGACATAAATAAATCACCTTCCTGACTAGTGTTCCTTGAAGTGGAACCTAGATGTCCGTGGAATATATTATTGGGGACCAAGAATCAACGAATACCTTAAATAGTTGTCCCTTGTTTTTTATGATAGTGTAAACAATTACTGGATTTAAAGACATTCTACAGTAATTCTTTTTCATGAGAAAAATATTCCAGGAAAATAAAACCTTAGTTTCTAAAACTGTCCTGTGGGCCTGGGCGGGGGTAAGGTTGAGGAAATGAGTTTTCTTCAAGAAGAGAATTTCTGACGTTGGAAAAAAGTGCTTTTGGCTCTGCAGGGTGCCCACTCCCACCCAAGGTAGACTTCTAGGGAGCTCTGTGTACTCATTTTCTGGTTTGCATAGCTTTGAATGGAATACAGGATGAAAGCACAAGGACAGGTAAAAGGTGGGAGGTGCTAGGTTTTAAAACCAAGCTGAAGGATGGCACCAAGTGTGTCCTATAGGATCGCACAACACCTGTGATAGGATTAAACTGTGGCTTTGTATTTTTTAGACTTGATTTGACTCTTTCCCATTTTCCATGATCCTCATGACTGAGTTGTGAAATTAGGCAGGCAGTGATTCTGCATCTTTAGGCAAATGACTACACTCTGCTCGGTTCGGTGGCCCCCGGTGGTGAAGTCCCAGGGTGGGGCCAGAACCTACATTTCTCTATTCCTGCTATCTTCCCGGGGACAGCACTCGGTCCATCGTTCTCTGGAGGCAGTTCTCCCTTCCTTGCAATGTCGCGCTGACACTCCCCTAGCTTTCCCAGGCCTTTCTGGGCTCTCCCTCCTGGGCCAGGCCCTCTTGACTAATTCAGTGCAAAGCTGCTGCCGACTTTGCTGACCCTCTCCTGGGATCCCTGGGTGCTGCTTCAGATCCACCAGCTCACAGGCCTCCCTCCTTGAGCTCCCAGTAGATCTGTGTTTCCAGCTCCCTTCCGGACATGTCACTCCCTCACGCAACGTGTCACTTCACCCCAAACTGCTGCCCATCGACTCTCTAGTCCCCAGAGCCAGAGGCAGGGAGGCCCCCAGAATCCTGCCTCTCCCTCATATTCCTTTCCAGTCTCCTTCTGCAATCGGCCGCTAAGACTAGTTGATTCTAGTTGTTACGGGTCTGGACGTCCTTCCCTCTCCTCCTGTTTTCTCTCATCTGGACTAAGGAGCTATCTCCTGACTTCCACCTCCTGGCGATTGGAAACATGTCTGTGGATGTGCCCCTCTCCTTGCAAATTCAGCAGCTCACGTGTGCGCACTGGACAGGCTGAGCTCCTTCGCGCGTTGTTTGAGGCCTGGGGTGATGGGCAGGGACTTTTTCCAGTTTCTTACCCACCACCATCCTTCCCTTGAGCCCTCCCCCCCACCTTCGCTCCAGAGGGACAAGTCTCGTCCCCCCCTCTCCGATCCCCAGATTCCTGGATGTGTCCCCACTTTTGCAGTAGCTGTTGCTGGAATACCCACCCCCTCTCATTCTTCCAGGCTAGGAACCTCCAGGCACTCTGCAAGAAGGGGCTCTATTTCCGTTCATTTCGGTTCCCCGGCTCCTTTCCTGGCCCACAGTGTGGGTTTGATAAATGTTCAAATGTTTGAATAAGGTCCGCATGAGTCATTTTATTTATCTGTTTGAAGAAAGCAGTATTTTGTAACTCTTCTTGTTCCCATTTGCTTGCCCCAACTTACAGTGAGCTGTTTTGAATAACTCAGAGATAACAGGTAAGGTGCTGGCAAGCAGGACTGAGTTGATGTGAGTGTTTCACCTCTCAGTTTTTGGAATCTGGAAAAGATATTTTCCTTTGCACCAGGACATTAACTATATCCCCAAACCATGTTTCTAACATGAACGAATGGGTCAGAGTTCAGTACCCCAGACAGTTTTCAAACCAAATTTGGTAATGTTGATTTAAAACCGCTCAACAAGAAAAGCACCCAGTACAATCATGGAAAATATTAGAACGGCTTTCTACACAGCGACATATTGTTGAGAGAATTGTTCACTGAAATTATATTAATCACAGAGAAGGATTATAAGCTCTCTCTCTCTCTGTTTGTTTTTTTAAACAGGATCAATTTGACAACTTAGAAAAACACACACAGTGGGGAATTGACATTCTTGAGAAATACATCAAATTTGTAAAGGAAAGGACAGAGATCGAACTCAGCTATGCAAAGCAACTCAGGTAAGTTGATATTGAAAAAGGTTATTTGTTAACTGCAGAATGGATGTAACAATAATTTATATTCTCATTTATACTGTGAATATATAATCCTTTAAATATTTTCCCCTTTTATGTAAGGTGATATTTCAATTAGAAACCATTGCTTTTGATAGAGAAGATTCATTTCCATAGAACAATAAAAATAAAAACTGAGTTACTGCCCTTAGGCTCTGGGTTTTTGTTTTGTTTTGTTTTTTGAAGGATAGTTTCTGAATTTTGGAGCTACTTATTTTTTTTTCAGAAAACTCCTAATTGAAATATAATATATAGAGAGAGAAAAGTACACATTAAAAGTGTTCAGCCCCAGAAATCCTCACAGAGTGAACACTCCCCCATGTCACCAGTACCCAGATGGAGAGACAGGCAAACCCAGCCCCAGAGGCCCCTGGCCCCTTCCGGTGCTCCACCCTCCCATGGCTGCCCACTCTTCTGACTTCGAATGACCTGGACAGTCTTGCCTGTTTTTGAACCTCATCTGAATGTATTGACTTATTAGGCACTGTTTGTATTTGACCTCTTTTGTTCTACATTATGTTTGGGAGATTCATTCATGTGGCTGTATATGGTGGTAGCTTGTTTCTTTTCACTGGTGGTTGGTGTGTGGATGTGTAAGTATACCACAGTTCACCCATTCCTCTGCCACTAGGCGATTGCTCGTCTCCTGTTTGGGGATATGAAGCCTGTCTACACCCAGGAGTGGAACTGTGGGGTCATAGGTGTTAGCTTTAAGTAGACAGCTTTCCAAAATGCTTCTCCGGATCTGAGTTCCGTCCAGCAGCCTGTTAAGAGCCCTGTGGAGCAGCATTTTAAAAGTGCTTGGACTGCTTACATCTTTAATGATGAAATTATCCAAGAAATTTTGCTTTTAGATAAAATATGTAAAAGTTGTTGGTAGAACAAAGCTGGAACTTGCCGTGGCAGGCACAGACTTTAATGATTTCTTGTTTGGTTGAATTGGTTGGTGCAGATTGTTTTAAGACCTGTTAAAGATCCAGATGACTTTTGGTATAGAAACATTTCGTTTGAACCCAAAGAGCGTCTGCAGGAGGGTTATGTCAGGTGTCACTGAGAGAAGATGGATTCTTTTAGAGCTGGTGTTGTTTATAAATAAGCACCTGAGTGGTACATCTGGATTGTTTTTATGGATGACAAGTTTTGTTTCTATTGAGTAAAGAAAACATAAAACATATTGCTCAGTGAAGTAACTGTAACCGTTATGACTTGCTGAATCCAGATTGATTTCTGGCACTGTGTGTATCAGCCTCACATCCTGAATGTGGCAGTAGGGAAGGGGCTGCTTCGTGCTGATTATCTAAATATCGCACTGTTCGTCATAAAATGTCTTTGGTGTGAAAATGGGTTACATACATCCTTAGCCAAAATACGGTCTCACCTTACGGATTTATCTGTTTGTTGCCTTTCTTTTTGTATTAGCTTACACTTGTCTTCCCTGGCACCTTTGTCATGATCCTGTTTTGTTTGGGAGGTTTATGATTAGATGCCATTAATTCAGCACTTAGCAAGTATCTGCTTGGTTCTGTGTCATGAAGGGAAAGGGCTTTCTTAGCTCCGCCTCTGGATTGCACCTGGCTTCTTGCCCTTTCTCATCACCCTAGGTGAGGGACGGAGGATGCAAGTAACAAAATGGGAGGCTGTTGGAAAAGAATGCAAATTCCAGTGTGGGTTTAGGGTAAAATACGATGGCTCTCCATTGACTGTTTTACCCTCTTGTGGATCACAAGTTGAAACAGAAGATCAGTATCAGGGATCTGATGGCAATCTCTTGAGAAGTACTTTTCCTGAGATCTAAATACATATTTAGTAGACTCTACGCCCAACATGGGGCTCAAACTTACAACCCCTAGATCAAGAGTCCCGTGTTCCACTGACGGAGCCAGACAGGCGCCCCCTGAGATTTAACTATTAACATTGTTTCATTACAGCCCTAAGAGGTATCTCAATTTATACTTGTTGGGAGAAGCTGATGTACAAGATCAGGAGTAATTGAACAAATGCCTTCAAGACCATTACTAACCCTTCAGACTGGTCTTCTCCTCCTTGATACTGAGCCCTCAGCCAGGTCCTCAATGCCGATACATAAGCATCCTTTCTATCCTTTGTCGATTTGCTGCCCCACTCACCGAAGTGACTCAGTTTCTCCTTTCTGCAAACCCAGCATCTCCTTTCCCATCCTCACCACTTGCTTGCTATGTTACTGAGAGCATGGAAGCAGTCAGAAGAGAATGTCTGCAGACTCTCAGCATCTGTGCCCCCCGCCCCGAGATGCTTCTGTCTAAATCCAGGCCCCCCTTTTATGCACTCGGTGTCCCCCCTCCCTCTGGCTCTGGAACTCAGCCCCAGTGGTTCTCTCTCCCATGTCCTCAGTTCTTCATTCCCTGCTGGGTTATTATCCCCATCGACACACAAGCACACCCTCATTCAAAAACAAACTTCCCTGAGGTGGTTCTCCCCACCAGCTGCCACCATGTCGTTGTTCCCCGTTGCAGCCAAACTTCTCGAAAGTGTTCTTACTTGCTGTCTCCAATCCCTCTCCTCTCACTACCTTAGACTCACCGCACACCACTCAGCCAGAACTACCCTTCCAGGCCCCTGTGACTTCTGTATGGTTCAACCCAATCGCCTGTCCTCAGTCCGGCGTCCTTGACCCATCAGCAGCTTTGACGGGGTGGATGCTTCCTCCTCCTTGCTTGGCCTCTGTAATTCCAGTCTTCTGGCTTCCTTCCTACTTCACTTTGAGCTCCTTCTCAGCCCGCTCGCTGGGTCCTCCTTTGCCTTTTGCCTCTTTACCCGATGTGCCCTGGTGCCCAATCCCTGTCATCTCCCCCTCTCGATCTGTATTCCCTTGGTGATCTCATCTGGCTTTAAGTATGATCCACGTGACAATGTCTCACAGGTATGTACCTCCAAGCTAGACCTCTGTCCTGGACTCTGACACAGATTATGCATTATCTCCTAAAACCTATTTGAAATAGAAAGTGTCTGAAACCGAATCTGTCCGCTTAAAATCTGCATCTGCACAGCCCAGCTTTTCCCCACACATTTGAGAGCTGCTCCCTCCTTCCTTGTTAGGTCAGAAACTCTGTTCCTTATTCAGTCAGAAGTCCCCTCTTTCTCAACCACTACCCCACCCCCATCCCCAATCTAAGCCATCAGGAAGTCCCTGTGACTGTACTTTGCAAATTTACCCAAGATCTGACCCCTTCTCATGACCTCTACCTCAGCCACTGTGCTCTAGTCTCCATCACCTTTCACCTGGGTTATTATGAGGCTTCTAACTGGTTCCTCTTACTCCCTCCTTATCCCCTCTTGTCTGTCTGTGTTCCACAAAGCAGCTAGATCATGGCACTCTGTTCAAAATTCCAACTCTCCATTTCACTCCGTAAATCCAGAATCCTTACTGTGGATGTCCTACAAAGCCCTATGTGATCATATCCCCCAACCTTTCTGACGTCCTCTCTTTCCTCCTTCTCCCTCCTCTCGGCTCTAACCGTACCAGCCTCCTTGCTGTTTCTCATACACACGAGGCACGCTCTTGCCCCAGGGCTCGCCTTTCTGTATGGGTATCACCTATATGTTCCTCGCATGCCCACCCTCTCGCCTCCCTTCAAGTCTTTGCTCAGATGTTAACTGCTCAGTGAGGCCTACCTCATCTTCCTGCTGTAGTTTACAGTTTTTCCGTAGCACTAATAACTTTCTAACATTCTTTACAATTTTCTTATATATCATATTTATTACTCATTGCCTTCCACTCCTCCCTGTTAGAATGGAAGCCCCTTAAGGGCAGGGCTTTTTGAGTTGTATTCACTAAAGTATCCCGGTAGTATGGAACAGTGCCTGATGCATAATAGGTACTCAGTAAATAGTTGTAGAGTGAATCGACAGGTCCCGTTCTAAGATGTTTGGTCCCCACTGCTTCAAGGAGAATCATGTGTTTGCCCAGGCTATGAGAGCTGATGAGGCTTACCAACAGAACAATCAACAGTGTGTCAACTGAGTGCCAGGGGAGCTCTAATGAACGAGACACCTTGGAGTTCACCTTCTCACTGTGGAAAACAGACCACATGCAAACAAGCAAAAAAATTAAATCATTTAAAGATAGCATTTATCATCCCAGGTAAGAAAAGCCAGTGATGTAATAGAGCATGATGGTGGGTGGGGGTTACTTAGCTAGACTGGCCAGGGAAAACCTGTTGCTTGAGAACTGAAGGACAAAGAGAGAGGGCTGGCATGCCAAGGTCTAGGGGTAGCTCTTCCAGGCCAAGGGATCAGCAAGTGCAAAGGTCCTGAGGTGGAAACATGTTCAAGGAATGGAAAGGCCAGGGTGACTGAAGCATGGTCAACAAATGCTTGCTTGAAATATCAGTATGATGTTGAAAAAGCAACGCTATCTTTTTGGAGAAGCTTCTGGCATTAAATCATTTTTATTTTTTTCGGCATTAGAGAAAAAAGAACACCAACTTATTTTAGAAGCAAAGGATGATCATTAGGGCTTTGATTTGTGTAGGTTTAGGGGTTGGCAAATTACAGCCTATGTCCCAATCCATCCACTGCCTAGTTTTATAAATAAAGTTATACAGAAACACGGCCACATCCATTCATTAATGTATTGTCTATGGCTGCTTCTGAAAACAATTGCAACTGACTAGCTAACGGGGACCACCTGAGCATGACCTACTTGCAAGTCTAAAATACTCTCCAGGGGCGCCTGGGTGGCTCAGTCGTTAAGCGTCTGCTTTCGGCTCAGGTCATGATCCCAGGGTCCTGGGATCGAGCTCCGCATTGGGCTCCCTGCTCCACGAGAAGCCTGCTTCTCCCTCTCCCACTCCCCTGCTTGTGTTCCTGCTCTCACTAACTCTCTCTCTCTGTCAAATAAATAAATAAAATCTTTAAAAAAAATAAAATAAAATAAAATACTTACTCTCCGACCCTTTACAGAAAAA